AAAAAAAATCATAGAATAACAGAAGAACAATTAAAAAGTATAAAATTAGATCTTTTAACACCTAAAGGTCTTACTGAGGGTAAACTTCTTAAATATTTTAAAATCAAAAATACTATGTTTCCTAATAAAATATTAACTAATAAAGGAATATTAGTGCGTATGGGTAAAGGTAAAGGTAAAATTAAAACTAATGTTCTTTATTTAACTCAAGGAACTACCTGTATTGAATTTATTCCTAAAAATTCTACTTTTGATTCTTCTAATATAAATATGAATGTAATATCTAAAATATTAACTAGATTTTGTAATAAATATACTTTTTTTTCTTTTATTAAATTAATTTAATATGAAGAATTTCTTAAGGGTGTAATTTAATGGTAAAATTGTAACCTTCCAAGTTAAGTATGCAAGTTCGATTCTTGTCACCCAAAAAATAATAATAATAGCTTAGAGAGAGAATTGAACTCTCATCTCATGGATTTGCAATCCAGAATAATAACCATTATAATATCTAAGTTTTCAGTTTTTTAAATTAAGCACTCCAACAATATAATACAAAATATAATATTAACCAAACAGCATCTAAGAAATGCCAATAGATGGCAGCAGCAGAAAATTGTAAATGATGATGATTAGAGAAATGAGAAAAAGCTAATCTAAGTAAAGTAAAAAATAAGAAAGTAGTACCTACTATTATATGCATACCATGGCAACCAGTAAGAATAAAAAAAGAAGAACCAAAAACACTATCACTAATAGTGAAAAAAGAATGAAAATATTCAAAATATTGAAAATACATAAATATTAAACCTAATAAGATTGTGATTAAAAGATAAAAAAAAGATTTAGAATAATTTTTATTAATAATATAATTATGACATGCAGTTATAGAAAATCCACTAGTTAATAAGATTAATGTATTTAATAATGGTACTGCTTTATAATCTAATGTTGTTATACCGATAGGTGGCCATAATCCTCCAACTTCTATTGCTGGGACTAACGCATTATAAAAATAAGCAAAAAATAAACCTACAAATACACATACTTCTGAAACTACAAATAAAATAAACCCTAAATTTAATCCTTGTTGTACTTTTTCAGTATGTTCTCCTTTATATGTTCCTTCTATTATTATATCTTTTAACCATAAAGTACTACTATATATTAAACTTAAAGTAGATAATATTATTAATTCAAAACCACCTATTTTATTTTGAAAACTTAAGATATTTCCTATTAATAAACTAAAAATTGAAAATGCTGCAGTTAAAGGCCAAGGGCTATTTGTTACTAAATGATAACTAAATGCGATTCTCATTTTTAATTTTAAAATCGACCTTTATAAGAGTCGGTTTATAGTTTATCTTTTTCCCTCTTATCAAAAAAAATCATAGTTTAAAAGGTTAAAACTTCAATTTGTGATATTGAAAATCTGAGTTCGAACCTCAGTGATTCCCATATAAAATAGAGGGTTATTATTTTTATTTTTGATGTTATATAGAGATCTTCATAAAATAGCATTAACTATCCTACTAATTGGATTAATTAATGTATATAATATCCTAAAAGAAGGAATAATATTAAATATTCCAAATGTTTCAGAAAGACTAGGAAGTTTACATTGCAATATAAATCTTATTAAAATCTTTATTTTTATAACTTTTATCTTTATATTAATTTTTAATCTCCCTAACTTTTCTATAATTTCTCAAGAAACTATGAAACAAAATAAAGTAGAATATGAATTAATTTTAGGATTAGGGTTATTAGGTTTAATTATTTTAGGGTTGAGTAATGATTTGATATTTTTATATTTAGGTTTAGAATTATATAGTTTTTCTATATATTTTTTAATTCTAGTTAAAGAAACTTTAGTTTTACGTAAAATATCTATCTTTTATTTTATAATTTCTTCTCTTTCTAGTGCATTATTATTATATTCTTTTTCTCAATTATATAAAATATCTGGAACTTTAAATATGGGAGAAATAAAATATTTATTAGGGGATATTTCTTTTGCGAATATTAATTTATTAATTTATTCTATTATTTTAGTTTTTTTATTTAAATTAGGTAGTGGACCTTTTTTATTTTGGTTAATAAGAGTTTATAGTGATTTAGAAAAAAAAATATTATGGTATCAATTATTAATACCAAAACTATTTTTCTTTATTCTATTATTAAAATTTACAACTTTAATGTCTGAAACTAATAAATACTTTATTTTTAGTATATATATTATGGCAATTATATCTATATTATTTGGATCTATAGGAGGTTTATTTCAAATTAAAGATAATAAATTATTATCTTATTCTTCTATTTTAAATACTGGTTATATTTTATTAACTTTTGCTATCTTACTTTTTAATTATAAAATTACGATAGGAAATAGTAACATAGAAACTGATAAATATTGGTTAATATATCAATATTTTTTTGTATATTTTTTAAATTTATTAGGTTTATTTTCGGTATTATTTTTATTTAGACGTAGTTCTAAAGTATCTGCTTTTAATTCTTTTTTATTACAACCTTATTTTTTCTTTTCATTTTTTATAATTATTTTATCCTTTATAGGGATGCCTCCTTTTTCTGGATTCTTTAGTAAATTTTATTTATTTTTTTCTTTATTTTCATATTCTAATTTAACTAATTTAACTTTAATAATTTTTATTGGTTCTACTTTAATTAGTTCTTTTTTATATTTAAAATTTCTTTTTGCTTCTTCTTATTCACCTTTAGAGGAAGAATATACTACTGTATTAAATACTCTTTTTCCTAATTTTTATACATATATACTTTCTTTTACTACAATTCTTACTATTGTTTATTCTTTTTTTTTATCTAGTTTATTACCTTTTTTTATACTGTCTTTTTCAATATAATAAAGATTGTCCTTAAAAGGATTTGAACCTTTAAAGCCTCTTTTTAGGCCATTAAATTTTAAATTTAACATGTTTACCAATTTCATCATAAGGATTTTTTAAATTGTATAATTAAATGGTATAATAGGACACTTTTAATGTCTCTTTCTTGGTTCAATTCCAAGTACAATCAAAATATATTATATATATTTATACTAGAGTAATTGGATTCGAACCAATGAATATCAAACTCAAATTTTGATGCCTTACCTCTTGGCGATACTCTATATTAAAAAATATAAATTTAAGCAAAAGTAGCTAACCAAGAAAGGTAAGATTTATTATCTACACCTTCAACAACAATTGACATTCTTTCATGATTACTTCCACATAATTCAGCACATTGCCCATAAAATACACCTGGTCTTAATAAAAATATAGATGAATGATTGATTCTTCCTGGTACTGCATCCATTTTTACACCTAAACTTGGTACAAAAAATGAATGAATTACATCTTGACCTGTAACTAATAATCTTATAGGAGTATGAATAGGTAATAAGACTCTATTATCTACATCTAATAAACGTAATTCTCCAAATTCTAAATCATCTTCTGTTTTAGTATAACTATCAAAATTTACTTCTAATCCTTCTATATCATTTATTTCATATGTCCAAAACCATTGAGAACCTGTGGCTTTTAAAGTAACATTAGGTTTTACTATATCATCCAATGCATATAATAATTTTAAAGAAGGTAAGGCTATTAATACTAATATTATTCCCGGAGTTATTGTCCATATTAATTCTATTGTTGTTGAATGATTTATAACTCTAAACCAATTTATACTTCTATTACTAAATATTCTTGCAATTATAAAATATGAAACTAAACTAAAAACTATTATTAAATAATACATAGCTTTATTATGAAAATCTATTATCCCTGCTGCTATAGGTGTAGCTTCATCTTGAAAAGATAATTGCCATGTTGAAGGACTATCATTATATATTTTTATCATTTTATTATTTTTTTCCCCTCTTATATATATAACAATTATATTATTTTTTAGAGAATTGACAGAGTGGTTGATTGTACTGAATTGCTAATTCAAGGTTTTAAATATTATTATTTTTAACCAAGGGTTCGAATCCCTTATTCTCCATTTCGTAAAAAATATTTAATAGAAGAAAACAATGATTAAGATAAAATTTATAATTATAATACGATAGCTTAATTGGTTAAAGCCGTTTGCTCATAACAAACAAGTTGCAGGTTCGAATCCTGCTCGTACTATTTTCTTTTTCTGAAGACCTTTTGTCTTTGAATAAATTTATACTAACATTTTTATAGATGTTTAAAGTTACAAAGTAAAAAATAAAATTAGCTTTATTTAAAGTGATTAATATATATTAAAGTTTGAAAAAAAGATTTAACCCTATAACTTTAATGAGAGCTAGTTTAAGATGGCTCTGTTCAACTAATGCTAAAGATATAGGTATCATGTATATTATTTTTGGATTTATTTCTGCTTTAATTGGTACATCTCTTTCTATGATAATCAGATTAGAATTAGCTGCCCCTGGAATACAATATATTAATAGTGATAAATATACAACTATTTATAATAATTTAATCTCAGCCCATGGTTTATTAATGATATTCTTTTTTTTAATGCCAGCATTAATAGGTGGATTTGGAAATTATAAAATACCTTTATTAATAGGTGCACCCGACATGAGTTTTCCTAGATTAAATAATATTTCATTATGGTTATTACCCCCTTCATTATTATTATTAGTTTTAGGTACTTTAACAGAAGGTGGTGTAGGTACAGGATGGACTCTGTAAGGAGTCGTTAAATTATACTCGTTGCGGGAACGTCCTCATGATATTTGTAGTATCAATAAAATATCCTTTATTTTATAGGAAAAGAATACATATATATATATTATAAGAAAAATATTTGGAATATTGTATTCTTTAGTAAACACATTTATATATTTTGTAAAAAAGTCTTTTACAAGAGGATAATCCGCCTGAAAATAAATTCCAATATCATTATTGTAAATGATATTTATTTTCATCAGAGACTTAATGTATAATATATATATAATATATATATAAAGGTATAGTCCGAACCTATATGAGAATATAGGCGTTTAGTCATAAGTTTTCATATTTAATTTAAAGTACTATTGACTAACAACAGATTTGTTATCCTCCATTATCTTCATTAATAGGACATTCAGGAGCAGGGGTAGATTTAGGAATCTTTGCATTACATATTGCAGGAATAAGTAGTTTATTAGGTGCAATTAATTTTATTTGTACTATCATAAATATGAGATTACCTGGATTAACATTTCATCAAATGCCTTTATTTGTTTGGTCCGTTTTTATAACTGCAATATTATTATTATTATCATTACCTATATTAGCTAGTGGAATAACATTACTTTTAACAGATAGAAATTTTAATACTTCTTTTTATGAATCTGTAGGTGGAGGAGATCCTATATTATTTCAACATCTTTTTTGGTTATTCGGACACCCTATTATTATAACACTTTGGGGTGTTAAAACTTTGCTAAATACGAGAAAGTCCTATTTAAACTTTTTGGTCCACTTTGACTTAGATCAATTCGGAAAAATCCAGAAACTGGGAAAATTCGTAGGTAATGTAAGTAAAAATTTTATTATTCCTTTAAATTTAAAATTTAAAAGAACTTATAGCACCTCAGAGACTATACGCAAAGAAAATCTTAAATTTATATCTGAACATGTACCAAAAAAAAAATCAATTTTTGATTTAACAGATGAAGAATTTGGGTATTATTTAGCCGGATTTATTGATAGTCATGAAAAAGATATTTCTATACACAATCAAATATGAATAACTTTTAATTTAAAAAATCAATCTTTTGCATATTCTTTAAAAAAAAGAATAGGGTTTGGAAATATTAAAATAATAAAAAATAGTTATTATTTAATAATAACTAATATTGAAGGAATAATAAAAATAATTAATTTAATTAATGGTAAATTAAAATTAGAAAATAAAGTAACTCAATTAAAAAATTTAATTCAAATCAATAATTTGACAATTCAAATCAATAATTCAGATAGTTCTTTATTAATAATAAATACATATTGGTTTGCAGGATTTACGGATGGAATTGGTTCTTTTCAAATCTTAATAAAAAAAAGAGAAAGTAAAAAAGAATTTTCTTTAAATTATCAAATCCTTTTTAAAAAGGATTTTCTTTTAAAAGAAATTAAAAATATTTTTAATGGGGGCTATATTGGTTTTAATAAAAATCTTAATCTGTATTATTTTGAGTCTTCAAGATTTAATATTGCTTATAAAATCATACAATATTTTAATAAATTCCCATTACAATCTACAAAATATTTAAATTTTTTATTTTGGAGAAAAACTTATATTTTCATTCAAAATAAAAAACATTTAACTTTAGAAGGTATTACAAAAATAAAAAAAATGAAAACAACTCTTGAATCAAATTAAAAATTAATTAGTTTATGTTATGAATTAAAGATTTTATGAAATAGTCCGAACCTCAAAGTAAATTGAGGAGAATATATTAATTGTAAAGGCAAAAAATATATCAACAAATATAATTTATCCTTTATATTTAACTTTATAAAGAAAGATATTAATGGAAGTATATATATTAATATTACCAGCATTTGGAATAGTTAGTCATGTTCTTAGTAGATATACTAATAAAATCATTTTTGGTAAAATAGGTATGATTTATGCTATGAGTTCTATAGGGGTATTAGGATTTATGGTTTGGGCACATCATCAATATACCGTAGGTTTAGATACGGATTCGAGAGCATACTTTACGTCTGCAACCATGATAATAGCTGTTCCAACAGGAGTTAAAATCTTTTCATGGTTAGCAACAATATTTGGAGGACAATTAATCCTTACGACTCCTTTACTATATATAATAGGATTTTTAATATTATTTACAATAGGTGGACTATCTGGAGTTTTATTAGCTAATAGTAGTTTAGATGTAGCAGTACATGATACTTATTATATTGTAGCACATTTCCATTATGTTTTATCTATGGGAGCAGTATTTAGTTTATTAGCAGCATATTTTTATTGGTCACCTAAAATGATAGGTTATAAATATAATGAAATATTAGGACAAATACAATTCTACTCATTATTTGTAGGAGTAAATTTAGTATTTGGGCCTATGCATTTTTTAGGTTTAGCTGGACAACCTAGAAGAATTTCTGATTATCCAGATGCTTTTGCAGGATGGAATTATATAGCTTCTATCGGTTCTATGATAACATTAGTTTCAATCTTTTTATTCATATATATAATATATAAACAATTCACAGATAAAATAAAAGAAGCAGATAATACATTATTATCTTTATACAGTTCATATCAAGGAAATTTATTCCAAAAAAGAACATTACCTCATTTTTATGAAAGGGATTTAGAATTTGTAATTAATACTCCTCCAAAATTTCATGCTTTTGAAGAATTACCTGTAATGTAAAATAAAAAATGCGAATTAGCTTAATTGAATAAAGCCTCTACTTTGTAAGTAGATGAGTAAAGGTTTGAATCCTTTATTCGCCATTTATATTTAATAGGTGGTCCCAGAATTGAACTGAGAACTTTGCTGTGTAAAAACAAGGTTTTACCTTTAAACTAACCACCTTTATTTATAAGATTATTATATTTATATATTTTGAAAGGGTTTATTATTTATTGGAAGTTAAGGAGTTGAACCTTATTTCAAGAGTCATGAGCCCTTGTAGAAACCTTTCACTTCTATTTTTTTCAGTCTTACAGGAATCGAACCTGTAGTTTTTAAATTAGAAATTTAATGCTTTATCCATTAAGCTAAAGACTTAATTTTCTTTGAGCTAGGAAAGATTTGAACTTTCATGTATAGATTCGTATTCTATTGCTCTATCATTAAGCTACCAGCTATCATAAAAGTATTTCAGAATGGTTTGATTTGAACAAACAATCTCTTTCACCCAAAGAAAGCGCAATACCTATTATGCTACATCCTCTTTTTTACCTTAACCTATAAATATAGGTAAGGTTGGAATTATAAATACAAAAGATAATAAAAAAGCTAAAAAGAAATAAAAAAATAAATAGGGAACATTAGTAGATAATTGAGAAGGAATATTATATTTAGAAGGAAAATAAAAAAATAATCTAAAAAGAGTAATAGGTCCTAAATATTCTAAATAGCCCCTATCAATAAATTTATAAAAAATATGAAAAGATAAAAAGAATGAAGGTTTTACTATAAAATAGTTATATAAAGGATCAAAAAGAAATTTTCTATTAAAAAAAGATGTTAAATTATAATAATATTTATTTGATAGAAATAAAGTAGGAAAATAATTATATATTATAATTAATACAAAGATAGTAAAAAAAGGAAAAAAGAAAGGTAATATTTGTATATTTTTATATAATATATTAATAACATTGTCTGAAGTAGTAAAAAGAGATATTAAAGAATATTCTAGATCTAATGAAATAGATTCTGGGGAAGAAAAAAAAGAAGAAGAAAAATAACCTAAAAAAAGAGAACCTGAAAGAATAAACAAGAAAGGAAATAAAAAACTATAAGAAGGTAAAGAATGGAAAGAAAAGGAAGGATTAGAACCTAAAGGAGAGGTATTATAAAAAGTATAATATAAGATTTTAAAAGAATAAAAAGAAGAAAGAATAGAACCTAATAATAATATAATTAAAGCATAATTATTATTTTCTAAACTATGTATTAATATTAAATCTTTAGAAAAAAATCCAGATAAAGGAGGTAAACCTATAATTGCTAAACTACCTATAATAAAAAATATATAAAATAGTGGCGCGATAAATATTAAATTTCCATATTTTCTTATATCTTGTTCTAATAAAAAAGAATGTATGATTAAACCCGCACTTAAAAATAATAAAGCTTTAAAAAATCCATGGGTTACTAAATGATAAAGACTTGCATTAAAAGGCTTAAATAAACTTAAAGCAAAAAACATAAAACCTATTTGGGCACAGGTAGAATAAGCAATAATTTTTTTTATATCATTTTGATTAAGAGCAGAAAGTCCTGCAAAAAGAATAGTTAAAGTACCTATGATATTTATAAAAGAAGGAATTATTGATAAAGAATGTTCTAATAAAGGTTCACATCTTAATACTAAAAAGATTCCAGCAGTAACCATAGTAGCAGCATGTAATAAAGCAGAAACAGGAGTAGGGCCAGCCATGGCATCACCTAACCAACAATGTAAAAAGATTTGAGCAGATTTAGCCATAGCTGCAAATAAAAATAAAAGAGAAAGGATAGAAAAAAAATAAGGAGAATGATCAAGATAATGAGAATAAGAGTGGATATATTGATAATCAAAAGAATAAAGAGTAAGAGCTAAGATTAATAAACCTAATAAATAAAATATATCTCCAACTTTATTAAATATTAAAGCTTTTATAGCACATTTATTATTTTGAATTGAAATAGACCAAAAATTTATAAGCAAATAACTAACAACTCCAACTAATTCCCAACCAAAAAAAGTAAATAAGAAATTTTTTGAAGATACTAATATAAACATAGAGACTGAGAATAATAATAATTTACTAATAAATCTATTTAAATGTGGATCTTCTGATAAATACCAATAACTATATATAATAACAATTAAAGTTATTAGTGAAATTAAATTACACATTACTATACTTTCTTTATCATATATTAAATCAAATTGTCCTCTTAATTGTCCTACTTCAAACCATTCTTTTATTCTTATTATTTCTATTTTTCCTTCTATATATTCTATTAAACCTTTTAAACTAATTATCCAAGCTAATAATATACTATTTATTGCTATCCATTTTCCCCCTATATGGCCTAAAAATCTACCAAAGAAAAAAATAGAAAAAGAAGAAAGAAGAGGTATACTTATGATTAAAAGTTTCATTTCTATTCTCCCCTTGATTTCTATTATTCCTTCCTTAAAAGGAAGGGGGATAAAGTATAGGGATTAACCCTCTACTTTAAATATTTAGAGAGGGAGTAATTTAATACTCTAAAAAAAAAATGAAATTAATATCAAATATATTAATTATAGTTAGTATTATTAGTATAATTAAAAATTATAAAAATAATATTTTAATATTATTAAGTTTAGAATTATTGTTTATAGCTTTATCTCTTATTTTTTTAGAAAGTGGTTTATATCTTGATGATTTTGAGGGTATAATTTCTTCAATCTTTATAATCTGTTTAACAGCTACAGAATCTGCATTAGGTTTAACTATTTTAATTTTAGCTTCTAAAAATACTGTAATGACTAAATAAAATTAATGTAATAATTCTGCATCTTTAATATAAGTTGTTGTTAATAAAGTAAATACATATGCTTGTATTATTGCTACACCTATTTCTAGGACATAAATAGCAGATAATAAACCTAGAGGTAGAATTAAAAGGATAGGAAAAGAGATAGTATATTTTAAACCAAAATTTGCGATGATTTTTAATAAAGTATGACCACTAAGAAGATTTGCAGCTAATCTTACAGATAATGATATAACTCTCATTAAATATGAAAGAACTTCAATAAAAAAGATTAGAGGTATCATTAATCTAAGAAATCCTTGATTTAATCCTTGAGGTATAAATAGATTAATAAAATTAAATTTATGTTTAACGACTCCGATTATAGTAACTCCTATCATTATAGTTAAACTCAGAGTTATAGTTACTATAAAATGAGCTGTAGTAGTAAAAGAATAAGGAACTAAACCTATAAGATTATTAGTTAATATAAATAAAAATAATATGATAGTAAAAGGGATATATCTTTTATATTCTCCTGGAATCATTTCTTTTGCTATTTCTTCTATTTTTTTATAGGTTGTTTCTAATACTAAACCCCATCTACCTTTGATTAATTTATTATCTTTAAAAGCTAAATTAAATATTATTAATATTAAAGATATTCCTATTATTAAATATATTGTACTATTTGTTATTGTAAAATCTATCCAATTATTATAGATACGGAATATCGGTTTGATTAAAAATTGTTCTAGAGGTGTATTCATCTTTATTATTTTTTCCCCTCTTATCATATTTTTTAATTCACATACTGAAATATGTGAAAATATGTATTATACTAAAAAAAATAGAGCTATAATTGCAAAAAGAAGAATTATAGTTAAAAATATTAATTTTAATATATTATTACTATCACTATACAAATAGTATCCTAATTTACGAATAAATAAAGTATCTTGTTCTTCTTCTATATTAAAATTAATAGCTATTTCTTTTTGAGGAATTAATTGTTTTATTGTAGTAAAAAAAAAAGAATAAAAATCTAATCCATAGAAATATATACCTACCGAATTAAAAAGGAAAAAGAAAAATAATAAAGTTATTATTAATTTATTTCCTTTTTGTATATCTAAATTCTCAAATTTATTATTTGAAACAACTATCGAAGTAGTAGGGGTTGATATAGATAATGAAGGATATAACATTATTATAAATCCAAAAAGTATAGTTAAAGCACTAACTTGCACTAATATTAAAATATAAGAAAAATATTGGCCATCAATAGAAGAAAGATTAAAATTTAAACTTAATTGTAAAGCAACAGTAATCATTATACCTACAAAACAAATTAATATATTAATAGCTTTTGTTTCTATTAAAAATAAAAAACTAAATAATAAAAATAAAAAAAATATTTGATCCATTAGAATATAAAAGTAAACACTCCCTCTAAAGATTTCCCCCTCCCCTTTGAAGGGAAGAATATAAGAGGGAAAATCTAAAGAAAAAATGACAAGATTATTAAAAAGAAATAGTATTTTAAAATTAATAAATGGTTATGCATATGATTCATTATTACCTAGTAATATTAATTATCTTTATAATTTTGGTTCATTATTAGCAATAATTTTAGTTATTCAAATAGTTTCTGGATTTTTTTTAGCTTCTTATTATGTTGCAGATATTAATTTAGCTTTTGATTCTATCGAATATATTATGAGAGAAGTACCTTATGGTTATATGATAAGATATTTACATGCTAATTCTGCAGCATTTTTTTTTATATTTGTATATATACATATAGCAAGAGCATTACTATATGGTTCTTATACAAAACAAAGAATAGGAACATGGTTTTTTGGGGTTATAATCTTATTAGTTATGATAATAACTGCATTCCTTGGGTATTCTTTAGTTTACGGACAAATGTCCTATTGGGCTAAATTAAATTGGCCAAAATTGTATATAATTTCTATAAAGTAAATATATATAATAGTCAAAATCTATAAAATAAATAACTATAAAAATTAGTTATAATAATATTAATGTAATTAATATAAAAAAATTAATATAATCTAATAAGGGTTTCTAGATTTAAAAACTTGACAGAGTTTTTGGAATAAAAAATTTATTCTGGCGAAATTTGTGTTAACGGTTAAAAAAATAATCATAAATTTTCAGACCGTCGGTAGTATATTATACCGCGACAGACTGGGTCACAAATTGGTGTCTGAAATGATGCTTAATGTACAGTCGGAATCTGAGATCTTTAAAGATTTTCAAGGCCTTTATTTTAAGATTTAGAAATAAAAATAACAGTTTTAGGGATTAAATTTTAATCTTATTTTACATTTAATTTAAATTATTTTAAAGAATTAAGAAATTTTAATTAAATTTATATAATTTAAGAAAAAGAGGTACAACTATTATTTTATTTATGTATATAAAAAATATAAAATAATATGTCAGATTTGATAGCCGTAATTACTAATTTATTAACAATTATTCCTTATGTTGGACATGATTTAGTAGAATTTATATATGGTAGTTTTAATATTGGTAATGCTACTCTTACTAGATTTTATGCTTTACATTATATCCTTCCTATAATCATCGCTGCTTTAGCTTTAGCTCATTTAATAACTTTACATAATCAAGGAGGAACAAATCCTTTAGGGATCAATACAGCAAGAAGTATGACTTTTATAAATTTTCATCCTTATTATTCAATAAAAGATTTATTTGGAATATTTATTTTCTTTTTTGTATTAATCTTTTTAGTATTCTTTTATCCTAATTTATTAGGGCATACAGATAATTATATTCCTGCAAATCCTATGGTTACACCAGTACATATAACCCCTGAATTCTATTTATTATTTTATTACATGGGTTTAAGAAGTATACCAGATAAAACTTTAGGGGTTTTAATATTATTAAGTTTTATAGTTATATTATTTTTAATACCTTTTTTACATAAAGGTATAATTAATACAGCAAAATTTAGACCAATATATAGAAAATTTTTATTTTTATTTTTTATAAATTTTTTAATAGGGACATATTTAGGTGCTGCTATAGTTGCAGAACCTTTTATTACTTTAAGTAGAATTACTACTTTCTATTATTTATTTTTCTTTTTATGTTTATTCCCTTTAATCTCTTTTATTGAAACCTTCTTTTTTGTTTTATTAGCTAAAGAATATAAATAAATTTAGAGGGAACTATTATTTATAAATAATATGTCTCTAATGATTATTTTTACTATTTGTTTATCTTCTTTTTTAATTCTTTTTAGTTATTTATTATCTCATAAAACAAATTATCCTGGACAATTTGGGATAGTTAATGATGAAGGTGAGAGAAAAAGTCAATATGAATGTGGGTTAGAAACTTTTGAAGAAGAAATAGGTATAGAAACTAGAGAAAGATTTTATTTAAAATTTTATATAATAGGAATCTTATTTTTAATCTTTGATTTAGAAACTTTATTATTGTTTCCTATTTCTTTATTATTTTATACCCCTTATAATTCCTTATCTTCTAATACAGAAACTATTTATATAGTTTTTCTTATCTTTATCTTTATATTATTATTAGGTTTATTTTATGAATTTCGTAAAAAAATTCTTTAATTTTATGAAGTTGAATGGATTCGAACCATTAAAACAGCTTAACCTGTATTTCATTTACAATGAAACGCAATACCTTTATGCGACAACTTTAGATTATATATTTGGTTTATGAATTTGATTATAAAATTCATTCCTTCTTTTACTTAATTTTTATACTTTTTAAAAGTGTAACATTAAGATTTAAATCTTAGATTTAAGATTAACCTGTCAAAGGTTTTTATAATTATGGTTGCAGCAGCAAAACTTATAGGTGGAGGATTAGCTACAATAGGTGTAGGAGGAGGAGCAATAGGGGCAGGGTTAATATTCTCAGCATTAATAAATGGTACTTCTAGAAATCCTTCTTTAAAAGGTGAATTATTTTCTTTAGCTATCCTTGCTTTCAGTTTAAGTGAAGCTGTAGCTTTATTTTGTCTTATGGTAGCATTTTTAATCTTATTTGCTTTTTAATATTTAATATTATTTCATAATTCAAGGCTTTTTAGCTTAATGGTTAAAGCGATTCACTGTTAATGAATATATATAAGTTCAATTCTTATAAGAGCCGAATTGATTAAGGAAAATGGTGAAAAGGTAAACACACCTATTTTAGGAATAGGTTTTTATGAGTTCAAGTCTCATTTTTCCGAATTTTTTTATTTTTTATTTTCGAACTAGACAAGAATTGAACTTGTACTTTTTTGTTTGACAAACAAATGTTTTAACCTGTTAAACTACTAGTTTTAACCATTAAATGGTAAATATATGACAATCTTGTTCTAATGGGGAAGGTCAAATTTGAGCTTAATATTAATTTATTAATATTAAGGGGTATAAAATATTTCAACTGTACCTTCAGGCACAATTACCGTGTTTCGACTTCATTAAAATCAATAATAAATACTCAATATCTTTCAACTTAATACAATATATTATATATAATATATAATTCCCTTTAAGGGGAATTGAATATTATTAGAATTATATAAATAAAGTTTATTTTTATAAGTTTTTCTATCTTTCTCGATGTGACGGGCTATTTGTACCAGACCAAGGAAAAATTCACCGTAATATACTAATTTACAGATTACTAGCAATTCCTACTTATGTCTTTTAATTTCAAAAAGACTTTCGTACATAAATAATTTTTAATTCTTAATTTAAATCTAAAAATTTTAGATTTTTAATTATAAGATAATATATTTGTAATTATCTTTGTATGGCAGTTCTATCCCTTCATTATAAGGATCACAGCATTTGTGATTATCCTATTAACTCTTATCTAAATTTAACTAAATCTTTATTATTTATTTAAAAATTTAGAAATTATAAACTTAGAGAGTATAACACCCCTTCCGAGTGCATTATTTTTTTTTTATATAGGATTTCATTCGTTGTCAGACTAAACTTGAAAGCTTACGCCACGAATTGAGCACAATCGTGCAATACCTAAATTATTCTAGTAAAAAAATAAATTCAAATTATGAATATATCACTTTAAAGAAATAATATTATATTGTATTTTTCATATTCTTATCTCAGAAGAGAGTAAATATTTTAAAATATATATTAAATGAGGTAAGGTTTTCGTGTACTGTCGAATTATGGGCCACCATCCACTGCTTTATTTGGTCTCTGTCAATTTCTTTAATTTTTAGTCTTGCGACCGTAATTATCAGGCGGACTATTTAATGCGTTAGCTTAATTACTCTTTTTTAACCTTTTTTAGGTTTTCTTTTTTCTCTAATGTTTTTATTTTAAGATTTTGTTAAAAAATAATGAATAGTCATCGTTTACTGCTAAAACTACATCGGTACCTAATCGATTTTGCTCCTTTAGCCTTCGTGATTCAGTGTCAGTATATTAATAGAAAAAAGCTTTCGCCTATGAGGTTCCATTCAGTATTTACAGATTTCACTCCTATCTCTGAACATTCTTTTTCCTTCTTAATTACTCTTTTTCTTTACCTACTCACCCTTTACGCCTAATTATGTTGAAAAATGCTTGCCTTCTTTGTCTAACCGCTGCTGCTGGCACAAAAACTTAGCAAAGACTAAAGATTCTTTTTTTCTTGTCTAATATATAAAAGAAAATCTTATTCAAATTTAATAATTCCCAAAGGTTTTATTTTTATTTGATTTATTCTCCCTATGGGAGATAATTAATTGGCTGCTTCAAACTTTCGTCCATTGAGCAATATTCTTGACTGCTGAGTCCCTAAAGACTATGGTTCTTTCTATACCATTGTGACTGTTCGGTCTTTCAACCCAGTTTAAGATCTTCAGTTTAATTTAGGTTTTTCCTTCATTTTTCACCATAATCTTTTTAAGTTCTATCCTTTTTCTTTTTTTATTATAATATTTATATTTTTATTATAAAGTTAAGGGTAATTAAACTTATTTATCTCACCACTATACTAAAAATATAAATATATCTTCAATTGCATGTCTAAAACCAATTTATCGCATTCTTTCGAAACCAGAATCAAATTTTATTTTTTCTTACTACTTTTTTAGTAGTTTGATCTTTTTTGATATTTTTTTATCCTTACTTTCTGTATTTAAGTTTGTTAGTTGTCTGAGAGGTTTAAAGAGTCGTTTTTGAAAAACGAAGAATCTTATTTTTGATTCCAAAGGTTCGAATCCTTTACTAACCATAATTTTAATTTTTTTATACATATGAAAAAGGTATATTTTCCTTAAGCGAGGAGTTGAACCTCAGTCTTTAAATTTTCAATTTATTGCTCTACCGTTGAGCTACTTAAGTTCCTTTTTCTCTTTCTTTACTTTTTAAAATTTTATTGTGTTTATTTAAAATTTAATAATAAATAGTATTAAAAAGTAAATAATAAATAAGTAGATAAGATAAAGATTAAATAACTTATTGTAAATGGTAATATTTTTGCCCATCCTAAATTCATTAATTGATCATACCTTATTCTAGGTAATGATGCTCTTACCCATATAAATATAAATATAAATATTATAGTATAATATGTACTTCCTAAAAATAGGATTGAACTTAATATTGACATACTTTGCACAAATGCATATTCTGCTAAATATAATGCTGCAAAAGCAAATCCCCCATATTCTGTTAATAATCCTGCTACTAATTCTGATTCTGCTTCGGGTAAATCAAATGGTGGTCTATTTGTTTCTGCTAAAGTTGATATTATAAATATTATTATTATTGGAAACAAATATATTATGTTTGGTATATATATTTGTTTATATATTATTTTTATTAGATTTAAACTATCATTTAATATCATTACATTTAATATTATTAATCCAAATGATACTTCATAGGATATTAATTGTGCTATTGATCTTATTGCCCCTAAAAATGTATATTTTGAATTACTTGACCATCCTGTATATAATAATATGAATGCACTTATTGATGATACCGCTAATATATATATTATTGAATAATTATTTTCTTTATAGAATCCTTGTATTCCTCCTATGGGTATTGGTATCCATATTATTAGTGATAATATTAATGTTATTGTTGGTCCTAATATATAATTTATTTTATTTGATTGTTGTGGTATTAATATCTCTTTTATTAATAATTTTACCCCATCTATTATGGGTTGTAATATTCCTAGAGGCCCTACTATATTTGGTCCTTTTCTTCTTTGCATTGCTCCCATTACTTTCCTTTCCCCTAATGTTAAATAGGCTACTCCTATTAATACCCCTATTATTAATTCTAGTATTAAGGCTAATTCTCCTGTTATCTTTGTCATCTTAATTTTCTTTCTCCCTCTACTTTTTTTCATCCTTTTTAAATTAAAGGTTTTCTTCCGTTATTTTTAAAGTAAAACGGAATTATTTATATAATACTATCCTTTCCTATATATCCTTTCTAAAAAGGATAGGATAGTATTTACACCTTTCTTTCTCTAAACTAGAATAGTTTAAAGAAAGAAAGGTAGATAAATAAGCACGGAGTGCTTTTTTTTCTTTAGAGATGAGATTATATTTGAGTAAGAGTTTGTGTTTACCTAGAAGGGGAAAAAAGAAGTTATACTTCTTTTTAGACCAATTATAGTTATATTTTAAGAGAAGATAAAAGAGTATCTTTATATATAATTTAATTTTTCTGAATATGAACAACTAGATATGAATGAATATGAATATCTAGTTGTTTATAGAAAGAAAAACTATAATAAAAAGAAACCTGGATCCTACCTATTAATAAATAGGGATAAGGATCTAAGAGGTTGTAATACCTCTTAGGTAAAGAGAAAATCGAACTAATATAATCTCAGATCCGGTGTTCGGATCCCTTAATGGTTATAACCCCCATCCCCATTAGGGTGGTTTTGTATAGAAGTTTATGTATATTTTCCTATCTCCTCTATCCGGAATAGAAGAGTGATATCATATAGGATTTTTTATACCTCTATCTCTCTATGACCCTCTATAATAAATTTATAGAGGGAGATCAAATCTTTTATTTATTCTTTCTTTCTCCCTTCCCTTATTTTAAGGGAAAATATAATAGAATTTAATAATTTTTTTGAAGCTCTATTTCTTCCTTATTAGAAAAAATAGAAACATGAATACCGGCCCAAATATTCACTAAGAGAAAACCAAATTAAACCCCAGGGTCTATTCTAATCTTTAACCTTCAAAATAAGGGGGGGATTAGATGGGGAAAAAAAATATATTCATTTAAGATGAATGAAATAAAATAATTGGAAATGTCAATATATTATAGGGTTTATTTTTCCCTTTTCGTATGTTTAGTTAATAGCTTTTTACATTTATATAAAAAAGAAAATAAATTTAAAATTTTTTATTAAACCGAAAAGATATATTATAGGGTTTTATTTTATTCCTTCGTATTTTTTTGTGTTTTCTTTTTGGGTATAAGAAAAACTTAAGATAAGAAAGCACGAAAGGGGAAAATAAAACCCTATAATATAAGAAAAAAGCGAAATAAAACTCTGAAAGAATTTCTAAGAAAGAAAAAATTTCCTACCCTTATAGGAAGAAGAAAACTAGAAATAGAAAGAAAGAAGGAGAAAGGAGAAAGGAGAGATAAAGAAAGAAAGGGAAGTAGAAGGATTACTAGCCTAAAAAAAAAGAAGAAACGAAAAGTTTATATATTAGATAGGACACCCTAAAATCTAATAGATTCTGAAAGGAAAACCTTTATAATAAAAACTGAAAAAGTTTTTATTGAATAAAATAACTTGATGAACTGAATCATCTAAATAATCAAAGGAAAAGACAAATTGTTAGTAGTGGCGAACGAACACAATTAACTTATTTTTAAATAGGTTGTATTTATTGGACTTATAATTTAAATTTATTTTTAATACAAAAAAAAAGTAGTAATATAAAACATTAAAGATATAGAAATATAAGTTTAATGTCAATTATCTGTTATAGTCAAAGAAAATTATTAGAGTTTAAAATAAATACAGCCATAAAGATTAACTTCTAAGGAAGTTACATCTTTTAAATAAATAAAAAAGTAAAAATTATTTTTAGAGCGATAGTGTAGAGTACTGTGAAGGAAAGTTGAAAAGAACAAAAAATACCCAAAAGGGTTACCCGAAAAACTTTAATTCTTAATTGAAAAGAAGGTTAGGGAAGAGTGAAAAAGATCATGAAATCTACTTTCTATTATCAGTTTAAATTTTATCTAATAAAAAAGTAATTAAATAAAAATAATACCTTAATAGGTATTATTTTGTTTAATTAATTAGAAATAAAAAATAAATTACCTTTTGTATTAGGGGTATAACAGCGACTTATGTGTATATACATGTGGATATATTATCTAGCATAAAGAAAAAAGAAATCACTACTTATGTGATATAAATAGTATATAAACATAGACTCGAAAGATAGTGATCTAATCATGATCAAATACTTTATCTTTAATTCATAGATATTACATCTCAAATAGATGTGAAAAAAAAAGAATTATACTACATTCTGAAAAGAATCTAGTAAAAAGAGAAGTGATTGAACTCGTCATTGTTGCAGAAATGTGAGAAGAATTGTGATTAGCAGAGAAATTCTAATCGGACTATCAAATAGCTAGCTTTTTGAGAAAACTATATAAGTAGTGATCATTAAAAATAATCTAAATAAGTAAAGTACTTAGAATTTATATAAATAACCCTTTTAGGGTTATTCATAAAAAACTAAAATCCCGATAAATATTTAGTCACAAGTATATATATTTGAAATTTAATGAATTCAGACTTATGGCGCTAAGGTCATAAGTCGAAAGGAAGACAATCCTACTCAATAATATTTAAGGGATCTAAAAAAAACAAATAGAATACTTAAAGGTATTTATTATAGTTAAAGATATAAGTGAACATAAAAGAGTAATTTTAGTTAGTTATTCATAATGTAGGCTTGGAAACAGCCATCATAAAAATTTTAAAATTTAAAATAGAAAACGTAATAGTTCAATGAATGATATACAAAAAACTAAAATTACATTAAAAATGTATAGATTCTTAATACCACCCCCTTTTTAGGGGGAGTAATATCTAGCCCTCAAATTGAAATATTAGATTACTCTTTTAGTTTTAAAAAGAAGTAAATAATAATATTAGTATCAAAAACGTTCTATTCTCAGTAAAGAAAATATGAGAATATTTTTGGAGAGAATAGAAGTGAGAATGCTGACTTGAGTAACGTAATAACAGTAAAATCTGTAAAGCTAGTCCAAGGTTTTTAAAGTAAATTAAAATACTTTAATATTAGTTTAAAGAAAATCCATAGGATTTAAAAGAAAACTTAAAGGCACCTAATATAAACTCCGAAAGGAGTTATAGATGGATAAAACATTAAAAAAAAAACAAGAAAAGAAATGTTTATACCTTACCAAAACCGACACTGGTGGACATACAACATTTCTCTCTTTTGAGAAGTGTTTGAAAGCTATTGAGAGAATCTTTTTTAAGGAACTCGGCAAAATCGGCCTAGGACTGTTTACCAAACACTTAAGACCTTGCCAAGCCAAAAAGGCATAGTATAAGGTCTGACCCTTGCCCAGTGTCAATAAGAGAAATATTTTTTCTTAAATAATTCTTAAAAAGAATTAATAGAAAGAATAATAATCCTTGATAAACGGCTGCTCTAATTATTGAGAGTACTAAGGTAGCAATTACTTGTCATTTAATTGATGACGCGCATGAATAGGGGAACTATAGGCCAACTGTCTCAAAAAAGAACTCAGTGAAATAATAATAGGAGTGAAGATACTCCTTATGCTCAGTTAGACAATGAGACCCCATGACGTTTGACTATAAACAAATATCTACTTCTGATTAACCTTTTTGGTTTTTCTTTTTATTTTGTATTTGTTTGGTAGTTTCCTTGGGGAAAGGGCCTCCTAAAAAGTAATGGAGGCATTCAAAAGCATATATACATACCTCTACCCTTCCCTCTAAAGGGAGGGTAATAAAGGTAAAAAAAAGTGTAAGAATTTCATTAAATTTTATATCCTATAAAAAATAATATGAAAAGATTATTTGGATAATATATAATTATATGCTTAACTATTAAGACTCACAAGTCTAATAGTGGTATTATCTTTTTTCTTTCTAATAGAATTTATAAAAAAAAAAAGATTCAAGCCAGATCTAATGACCAGATAAAAATCTATATCTAGGGCCAATCGCCTTTTATATTAAAAGATATTATCGTTCAATGAATAAAAATGATTCTGGGGATTTAAAAAGAATAAAATATTTTATTTTATTCTAAGTTCCAACATATTGTAAAATATGTTTAAAATTTGGGTGAATTGCAAGAAAAACCTAATCAATTAACATCTTTGAAAGGTTAATTTGCAGCGAAACTTATTTTGACAAAATAAAAAAAAAATAAGAACGTTCAACGACTAGGAAATGAGTATTGTCAACAATAATTTTCCCACGAGCGCCCAACAACCTAGCTAAATTCACTCTTTTTTAGAGTCTATTTAGAAGGTTGAAGACATAGTCTGAGCCAATATGAGAATATTGGAAATAATAGATAAAGAGCTATTATGATAACATATCTGAACAGACTAATTTCTTCTTAAAGTTCTTATTAATGAAGAAGCATAGCACCTCGATGTTGAATCCACATGTCCCAGTCAAGCAGAAATGACTAAAGGTACGATTGTTCATCGTTTAAAATGTGACGTGATTTGAGTTAATCCCGGCGTAAGCCAGGGAGGTTCTTATCTGCTGAGCAAAAGAATAAAATATTAGAGGAATCCAATAGTACGAGAGGATCTTGGATTAGACACCTATGATGAAACTTAATGTTTAGTTATGTATAAATAAACTATTATAATGTATAGTTTTTACTGAGTAGTATTGAAAGAATATAAATACGAAACAGACTCTAAAATATTTATTTAAATTACCCTTGAGACTAAGGGGTTAATAGGTTCACACTATATAAACATTCTTTAAATAAAGAATCAGTGAGGAATACTAATTATTTTTCTTTATCTAAATATTATACACCTCCGGTGTATATATAAAATATATCTTTCTTAAAAAAATTTGAATTGTAAGAAGGAAATAGAGCTTTTCGTCTAATGGTTAGGACGCCCATTTTTCATATGGGGAATGAAAGTTCAAATCTTTCAAGGCTCAAAAAAGAAAAAGAAATCGAAAACGGTAAGACTCGAACTTACAAGAATGAATTTGGAATTCATTATTTTACCATTAAATTACGTTCTATAAGAACAAAATAAATTCACACCCCGTGTGGATAAATTACGTTTAAGTAAAAACAAAATAATTATTTTTAGAAGATATCTATTATATAAAATATAATACAGGTAAAGTTAATATTGATACAACTGATTGAGGGAAAAAAGTAAAAACAAAAGTAAAAACAAAAAAAGGAATAAGTGTTAAAAATTCAGTATAAGTTAAATCTTTAAAGCCTATTGATTCTTTAGAAAAAAGGAGATAGGGAGAAAAGGTACCAAATAAAAGACGATTAGCAAACCATATCATAAATGCAGAAGAAACGATTAAAGAAAAAACTAAAAGAATAGATATAAATAGATTAGAATGTAAAGAAGAAACTAAAATAAAGAATTCTGCTAAAAAAGAAGCACAGAAAGGTAAAGAGATATTTGCAAAAGAAAAGAATAAAAAGAAAAAAGCAAATAGAGGCATTGTAATAGATAATCCTTGATAGTAAGGTAAAAATCTTGAATGATATCTTTTATATAATATACCGATTAATAAAAATAATGCACTAGATATAAATGCATGTGTAAACATAAGAAAAGAAGCACCAATTAGACCTACTAAATCTTTAGAAAAGAATCCAAAAATAGAAAAATTCATATGAATAACAGAAGAATAAGCAATAATTTTTTTAAAATCATATAAACCCCTTAAAGGTATAAAAGAACAATAGATTATTGAAATTAAAGCCAATATATAGATTATAGGTAAAAAAATACTATATACTGAATCTTCTAAGATAGAACCATTAAATGGTTCATATAAATATAAAGAATATCTTAATATTCCAAAAGATGCTAATTTTAATAATAATGCAGCTAATATTATTGATCCTATTGTTGGGGCATCTGAATGGGCTAACGGTAACCAAGTATGAAAAGGAAACATTGGAATTTTAATTAAAAAAGAAAAAAATAAAAGTATCCAAACAACTTGTAAGATTAAAATATTATTTGTATCTCCTATAAGTAGAGTTTCACTTATTTTAATATTTAATAATTCATTACTAGTTGTTCCATATTTAATATACATTATTATTATACCTAAAAACATTAAAATAGATCCTATCATAGTATATAAAAAAAATCTAATACCTGCTTCTAAACGAGGTAGAAAATATTGATATTGACTACCATAACGAGAGATTAATAAAAACATAGGAATTAATATTAATTCAAAAGTAATAAAAAAAAGAAATAAATCTAATGCTGCAAATAATATTATTATTAATATTTTTATTATTTGAATATAATTAATTATTCTTTTTCTTTCTATTCCTTCTTCTCTTTCACCTTTTATTAACATTATTAATATTGGGTCTAATACCCCCATTAAAGCTATTAAAGATATACCTATTCCATCAAATCCTAATGTATATCCTAATATTTCTATTCTTTCTTGATATTCATTATTATTGAAATTGAATTTTAATAATTCCCCTAATATCACATATAATGTTAATATTGAAAATATTAAATTTATTGTCCTATTTTTATTACTTTTTCCAGGAATTATATTGTTTATAAAAAAAGATACACACATTATACCTAATATATTTATCACTGTTTAATTATTTGTACCCTCTCTGAAATATTATTAACTATTCGATTGAAAACTTGAAAATAATAATATAAATAATAAATTTAAAAAATATATTAAAACAGGAATTAACATTATTATTGTTATTTTCACTTTTTATCTTTCTTCCCTCTATATTTAAATAATAAAAGGATATTATTTGGAGTAAAAGAGACTTGAACTCTTACTTTTTGTATGCAACACAAAGGCTCTACCTATTAAGCTATTACCCAATTTAATAAAGAATGTAAAATAAGGAGAAAACTAAAGGTTTAGTAACTGAATTCATATTCCAGTGTTATCGGTTCGAGTCCGATTTCTCTCATAGATTTCTCCTAGAAGGATAGAAAATTAAAATTTAGAAGAAAGAACTTTAGATATTCCTTCATTCCATTTTGTTGTATAAGTTGATAAATATTGCACTGTTTGAGTTTTATCTAGTAAAGTAGAATTTGTGGTATAATTTTTTAGTTTTATTTGTTCATAGATAGAAGGTAAAATATATTGTTTCATATAATAATATAAAAAATAAAAGATGATTATAGTCCAAGTAGTTTGACTTAAATATGTATAAACATTACATTGTGCCATTATTATTATTAATTATTTCCCTCTATCATTCTATATTCCTTATATAAGAATAGATATAAAGAGGGAAACCCTATCTTTAATAGGATATAAAAACAATGACAATAAATCAAAAAACACGTTTAAAAAATAAAAAATTTATTAGAAAATTAAAACAAAAAGAAGAAATACTTTCTCAACCTTTTATAAAAGGTTTAACTATTAAAGTATATACTATGACTCCTAAAAAACCTAATTCAGCTTTAAGAAAAGTTGCAAAAGTTAAATTAAATAAAGGAGTTGGTTCTAAAAAACAAACTATTATTACTGCATATATTCCTAAAGAAAAACATACTCTTTCTATACATAATTTAGTATTAGTTAGAGCAGGTAAAACTAAAGATTTACCTGGATTAAAATATAAAATTGTTAGAGGAGTTTTAGATTGTAAATAATCTTTTATAAGCCTAAAGTTAGAGGGATTTACAAATAAAAAGATATGAAAAATATAGGAATAAGACAAAAAAGAGTAATAAAATTAAAAAAAAGAAATAGTAATATAGGAGAATATAGAAAAAATAAAGATTATGTATGTATCATAGCAAAAAAAAATCATAGAATAACAGAAGAACAATTAAAAAGTATAAAATTAGATC